GAAGGTGTTTCAGGAACAGGTGCTTGAATCTGAACATTCATGGCTGCTCCATATGCTGGTGCCGAATGATTCGTGAAAGGTATTGAGGAATTTGCAGGGACAAGCTGGCTCGCACCAGATTGGTAAGAAGTAGGATAGCCTAGTCCATTCATCGTGAAAGGAGATGCAGGGATGGATGCAGTGGGTGACTATCATAGTCCAGATTGCTTTTAAGTAGGTCTGCACAGAGGGACAAAGCCAAACAATGAATGGTGGCACCTGGACTTGTCTTTGTTGCATGCCTCAGACCCATCTCCCCTGTCTTTGCTCTCCCATACGCTTTGGCAAAAATATTGTCAAGTAGACGAGTGCGCAGCATGAGATAACAGCTCATAGAGCAATGTCCTAATCTTCGGGAACACAATATTCCGGGAATGGTTTTATCTGCATTCATAAGGGATGCCACCGTCGGTGTTCATCGTCAGCTGGTGCCAATGGCAGTCAGAATTGGCATGGTCGGATGTAAAATGAGCATGGTCGACAGGAAGAGAATACTCTCTGCAACGAAGGCGATTGGTGTCTCCGTGAGTTCTCTGTTTGAATAAGGGACAGTGGGAAAATACCAGATGTAGTATGCTCATTGTCGGGTACAGAGACCGGTTTCGACCCCGAGGACAAGAATAGCATGGTACAGCTATGAATGCACCCTGGAATGTTAGATGCAGCATCGATGTCCATGTCAAACTGCCTATCGCACAATTGAATTGGAGCTGGGAAGATAGTCAAACCTAAACATACTAACCACATGCTTTCTCGCTGGTACTCTCAGCTGTATGGCTGCTGGCAGTCGAGAAGGAAGGTGAGGAAGGTTACATTGTAGTTGGGGTTCAAAAACGAGACATTATATCCTGTAGATCAGACTGAGAGTGGCGGTCTCGAAAGGTGTGTGAGTCGGAGAGACCGTTATTCTGTTCATGTGTCCATGACATGTTGCATCTATTTGTCTTTTTCTTGATGACATCGGTCAACATCTCATTTGTCACAGCACTGACAGGAGTTTCCAGGGTGCATATAACTTGAAAGAAGGATACATTGGTCGTGGGACGACAGAGAGAGCGGCCTATCGTTTTGGCAAGTTACAGAAAATGTTGGTTGACAGCGAGACAACAGACAGTTCCTTGCGGCTGAAGATACCTTGCTGAGGTTGAGAAGATGGGTGTTGATTTCATCTGGAAGTTTCATGTGAGGATAGACTCCATCTCACAAGCATAGACCTTACCCTTCACGATGCTATCAGTGAGGATAAGATATCCAGACAGCTGCGTAAACTATGGTCTGGCACTGGCGAAATCCCTCGGAAGGCTGCCACCATGCTACCACCAACTTCATGTATCGCCACAAATGCGAAACGTAAGAGGGAGAGGCTACATGGTGAATTGCTCACGTCTTCTCAGGGAATTATCTCTCTCTCTTAGGATTCCATCCTTATCCACGGTCACGGAGAAGAGAAGTATTAAGAGTAATATCCAAATGTCATAGGGATGGGTTAAGGTCGTAATGAGAAATTTTGCCCTCGAAGATGCTGGCCTGTGACTGAATGATAAAATACCCTAGGTAGTCTGTATTCGATTGTCGTTGTCTGTACAGATGTTTAAGTTAAAGCGGCATGGAAGGAAACCTGACACACACCTTCGCAGAAGCATGGCTCAGACCATTAGCTTCAGAAGCATACCTACCCAAACATTGATAACCTTCACCCAAAGATGCATGCCTTTCCAATTTCCCTTGAGAACATGGTCCTCGATGTGCTACGGGTGCACAGGAGAAAGACTGTACCTTTGTTCCAATGAACGATGACATGAAGGGTAGCAGTGCGAACTCAGACTATAGAGGCTTGAAGAAAATTAGATAGTCGGTGATCCACTGGAAGAAAATGAGTTCAAAATAAAGTAGCCGGCACGATGAACATTCTGTGTCGTGATGTTTGTTCGAAAGTCATGGTGGGCCAAATATAGCTGATGGCCCTTGCCGTCTTTGCTGTGCACATCTAAACTACGTCTTCTCTATTAGTATTTTTGCCTTCCTTGGCTTTATTATCACTGCTACAATATCTACCTTCAATTAAATCACAAGCCATGCAAAAACATGCTGCAATGATGTAAAACACATTGTGCTGCGGAGATCCTGGTAGTTGCACCTCCCAAATTCAACAAAGTCCTTTGGTCTCCATTCAATTCGTACTGGGGTCACATACCTCAAGAAGAGATGGCTGCATTTGGAGGACCTTTGTTCTCTATAGAGTCAAGCCAAAGTGGTGCATATTACAGCTTTCTTCTACTAGCGATACTACGTTAAGCATAGCCCATTACAGAACTGCGACTGACCACGACTGCCAGCTCTGGTCACCAATACTTCTGTCCCATCCTTGTACCAAATTTTCCTCACTCTTCGTTTGCTCTCCTCATTGCCTTCCAAGTATGGAATTAGGCTAAATCGATGGATTTTAATAAGCAATCCTAGTGCTGCCATTTGGCCTTGGGCCTTGACATGGAGATCATCGCTGTTCATGCTGAGGGTCCCGCAGGGAGAATCAGGGCCTTCAACAAAGGCCTTTAGCTGGTATTCTCCAAGTAGCGCTTACGGAACTGGAGACTGGGTGTCACTTGACACGAGAGGATACAAATATTATCATCTTCTGTATGTCGCCTTCTTTTCGTTAGCTTACTAGAAGTCATTGAGTCTTCTCTTCCAGATCTCGTCCCCCTCCCAATCTTATCATGCGTCCTAGCCCTCTTTGAGGTCAGAAAGACCTTCTCGGAAGTTCAAGCAGGCTTTTAGTGTACATGGCTCTCCGATTTCCCTTTATTTTTGATTGACTCTGGTACGACAGATCCTCACGCTATGGCAATCTACCATGTCCACGGCACCAGCATGCCCTGTGGTGTTCTAATACCTGGCTCAAGGCCTTCAGTTGTGTCCACGCACGACTGAAGGAGCAGTCGTTTCCCCAAAACGGCATACATGGGGCTTCAGTGTAGCTGTATATATGCGACTATTTGCGGCTCTTCAACTCGATCCCTTGGAGGTGGCTGGTTTTTGATTACGACCTGATTCTGGAGTGTTCACGA